AACTTTTGCTGCTCGACGAGCCATATCAACCAATCAGAGATGCTGATCTGGAGGCTGGCAGGGAGGCAGACACAGCACTGCTGATGCAGAGCGCTATGATCACTCCTCTGAAACAGTTTATTAATGCCTAAATTAACATAAAATCTCGACTGTGCAGCCAGAGCAGCAAAGCTGCTTCAGCCAAGCGTCAGAACTAAACTTGTACAAACATCAAAAATGAAGCAGCACGCGTGTTTTTGCTGCCCCTGCTTTTTTTGCAAAACCATAAAATCGAGGAAGTCTTCTTCTGCATTATTTGACTTGCACATTTGCTTCAGACGCTTCTTTCCTACTTCTGCCTGATCGCTGCGCTGTTAACTCACGCCATGGCCGCTGCTCAATCTGAAGAGTTTGTACCGATTATATGGAAGCGGTTCGGCTTTGAAAAGGCCGATATGGCGCAGACTACAGTCGAGTGCAAGGTTTGTCAAAATGCTATCAAAACCAAGAGTTTCTTCACAACTAACTTGCTTCAGCATATCCCACAGAATGCGAGCAGTGCTCGCCGCTTCAGTGTGCAGCGTGGGTAGCACGGACAAAGACAAACATGTCCACGACAAGAAAAGACAACAAACCCTGGCACTAGGGATGGGGATCGTTAATATTTATTGATATCGATACCTTTATCGTTACTCCTTATCAATCCGAGTCTTTATCGATACCACTATCGATACTTTTCTGTTATTTGGTGGAAAGACGATGCGACAATATGTTTTTAACAGAACTGGTATTGCTTTTATTGCTTAACAAGTGAGCATAACAAAAATGTTTCTAGCCTTCAATAAACATGGCTAATGTAATAGGCCACTTCGAAATGACATAAAACTAACTAGAATATATTTTCACAATTGTTGGTTAATGTATTGTCTTCTGTCACTTTTCATCATGTTTTTAGTGATTAGGAAAATATTTAGCAAATAAATAATTGTATTTTAAATTAAATGTAACTTTTAATAAATGTTGGCATCAGTAGTTTAAATATATATTCTAAAATAATTAGAGCAATATACAACTGTAGTACTCATGTTTCTCGCCCCAAAACTCAATTTCCCTTTTCTTTACATTAAACTTGAACGCATCATGATAACCTAATTGTCGTTTTACTGAGCCAATCTGAACACATCATCACGCAGCACGTCTGAAACTTTATTTACTTTTCAAGCTAACTAGCTTGTATGCTTCCGATTACAAGACGGATTTCACAATTAATATTTTTAACTGACCGGACAAGCTACAAAGTCGGTGTGCGCGCTTACCAGTGGTACTCTGAGTGGATGATGAAGACGGGCCCGACTGTGGTGCGGCAGCAGCAGCAGGAGGAGGAGTCTTTTCCGTTCAGCCATCCTTGAGTCGCTAGCGAAGTTAACTTCCAGACTTCACTTGTTTTACTTTTAATATCTGTTTGCTTACAATTTCATTCCAAAACATTGGTGGACATGCTGCAGTGATTGGATTGATTAGATTTAAATGCTGTGACGCGACTCGAGGGACACACAATTATGTTACAGGACCTCCGGGAGAAAAAAAAACAAAAAACGACCAGACTCGATAGTGGTATCGATAAGCCCAAACGTTATTGATTTTCGGGTTTTGAAAAAAGTGGAACCGGGTCCTTGATAGAACCGGGTTTCGATCCCCATCCCTACCTGGCACCCTCATTTTCTAAAGATAAAGCTGACCATATAGGGACGGACATGGTGCCCATTTACACAGTAGAGAAGCCTGGCTTTCTTCACATGCTTAAGTGTGATCCAAAAAATGACCCGCCGAGTTGCAAATACTTTGCGGAGGTTGCGCTACCAAAACCGACAACGAAACATGACAAGCGCTCTAAATAAAGCTGCAATCTGCTTTGTTTTTTGCAACTTACTACAGACCTTTGGTCCAATCGATCTCATTAGTCGTAGAAGAGTTTAATTGTGCATTATATCGATGTGAACTGGGCTCTTAAAAGCTGCTGTTAAAGCACCAATTTTCCAGAAGATCCTACGAGGGAGATCATTACACAGGGGCTCAAAGATTCATCGTCACTGGGGAAGTTGGATAAGAAGGAAATGGTGTGCACGACGACTGATGAGGCCCTGAAGCTAAACCTATAGATCCATCTCAACTGCTTTGGGCAAAGGCTAAACAATGCAATAGGTGAGTGAAATAATGTTTTTAAATGTTGTTATCACATTACGTTGAGCCTGTAATCACTGCAATAGCAAACGTGCAGTGTTGGGGAGAATACTTTAACATTTTATGTAAAAAATGCTTGTAAGGATCATTGCATCGAACGTACTTCATAAATATGGTCAGTGCCTTCTCTTTCAGTTGGAAGAAGTGGAGGGACTGTAAAGGACCCAGATATTTGTTATAACTAATATTTTTTTTGATATGCTTTTATTCATATATTGTTATTTGTTTTTATGCCTAATGTTCCTGATTCCTCCGTTTAAAGCGAAACATTTTGGATTAATAGTGAATTTCGGCAAAAAGGGTTTACGTGCCTTTATTTTGAAGGGTTGATTTCTATTTCCGGTTCAACGGAAAGAAGCACTGCGTGCCTACATCCTTACCAGATGGTTTTGCTGCTTGTTAAAGGACGGTTTCCATTCACATTTTTATATGGCATCTAGCTGGAAGGCGAACAGGTATAATTTTCTTTGTTGTGTAGTTTTATATGTATAATAACTCTACGTTTATTTAGAGTTTATATATAAAAAAGAAGTTGAAGAAGCTAATGCTAGCAAATGGTAGCTAATGATAGCTAATGGTAGCTAATGGAATTCATGGTATTCATCCTATGTTGAGTGGAGTAATTTTGTAATTTGTTTTTGTTTATCTACAGCTCTTACGGTGTTTCTATGGTGCATTTCCATTTCTGATGAATAAATGGGTTGGAATACCCCACCATAGTCCATCAGTTATCATCATTGAGTGCGTCGTCTGAATAAAGTCTGGCTAGACTGCTACAGGGACATGGCCCTGATTCAAGCAGAACTTTGCTTCCCAGAACATTAGCTAATATCAGAAGAACTTTGCTTCCCAGAACGTTAGCTAATATCAGAATCGGCAACAAGATGGAGGTCACGCCAGAAAATTGATCAAGCACAAATTGGAGCAGGAGAAAACATTTGGGCAAATCTTGGGGGCAGATAAGAAAACACGACACTTTTAGTGCCTACTTGGGAGGATAGTGAAATTCTGAGTCTGTAAATAAAGCCATTAAGCCAGTACATGACTTCACTGATGCTCTGTCAGGTGAAACATACGTGAGCATCTCTTTCATAAAGCTCTCTTCATCTGTTTAACCACAGTTTGCTAAAACCAGAAGTGATACTGAGCTCACAAAATGGATCAAAGCAAATTTGCTGAATTGTCTGAACACTAAATAAAGTGATCCAGCCATAAAAGACCTGGTCGACTTTGCCTCAATGCTAGATCCCAGGTTCCACACAACTAACATTTAGCCATACCATATTAAAAGTAAAGGAGAGAATGATGACAGAACTCTGCTCTTGCAGAGGCATGGTAGGTATGGCAGGTACTCTTACAGAGGAAGACAAATGTGAGAGCCAGAGTAATGTTGTTGAGCCTGTAGCAAAGAAAAAGAAATTGCTTAGCAGCTTCTATAAAAAGAGTGCTGCTCCAGACATATGAGGCTAAAATCAAGCGTGAAGTGTTAGCACCCGAAACTGATGTCGATTCAGACCCATTTCAAAGGTTTGAAAGGGTATTTAGTACAGGGGGAACATCGCAACATGCACCAGAGCTCGTCTTAAAGGAATAGTACACCCAAAACATGATTAGCCTTCATTTTCTACTCACCCCCATGCTGAACAACACTCTGGAGTACTTTTTTGATATCTCAAATGCATCTGGAGATCTGGGAGGCTTCTTGCTGTCTGCTGACATTCAAATAATGGAGGTCTATGGCGCCCGAGGCAGAAAGGTCCATAAAAGTCCACAAAAAACGTGTCAATATTCCTCCATACTGCTCGTCCAATGTATTCCAAGTGTCCTGAGTTGGTAGCGTCCATAATTTACTCGAAACGAAGTCATTTAGAATGTTTTTAGAGCATAAACAGTAGTGTATAGGATTTTAAAAGCGCGTTCACGAGTCTACGGAAACCGCGGCAGACCAAACCAGACAAAAGTGCTCATTCAGCTCGGCAAAGAACTCATGCTCTTCCTCAACACTGAAGTCCTCAGACATTTTTCTTTCGTTGTTTCTTTCTTTGCACAGGTAAACAGCACATTTCTTCTTCTACGCTTGCATTATCGGCAGAGCAGACGCTGAATGCGCACTTTCATCTGGTTTGGACTGCCACGGTTTCCGTAGACTCGTGAACGCGCTTTTAGGAAATCCTATACACTACTGTTTATGCTCTAAAAACATTCTAAATGACCTAATTTCGAGTAAATTATGGACGCTACCCACTCAGGACACTTGGAATACATTGGACGAGCAGTATGGAGGAATATTGACACGTTTTTTGTGGACTTTTATGGACCTTTCTGCCTCGGGCGCCATAGACCTCCATTATTTGAATGTCAGCAGACAGCAAGAAGCCTCCCAGATCTCCAGATGCATTTGAGATATCAAAAAAGTACTCCAGAGTGTTGTTCAGCATGGGGGTGAGTAGAAAATGAAGGCTAATCATGTTTTGGGTGTACTATTCCTTTAAGCCAGAGTCGGTTAACAGGCTTGTTTTTCTCGCAAGAAATCTAACGGTTTAAATTAATCAAAGCTTATTCAGTGCTGATGTCAATTATAAGAAGGTGATGTCACAGAGATAAAGCATATCCAAAGTTTGGATTTGAAATGTTTCAAATTTACCAGCAAATAAATCTGGAGAGTACAACTGAAGCGATAAAAATGGCATCCTTACACAGTGAACACTATGAGCGAAGGAATTCACAGTTGGATCTAAAACTCTGATGAAATGAATCTGGTTTAAAGGGCTGATACTTACAAAGCCAATCTCTTCAAAACGAGCCCCACTCTGTCGGACTCTGCAGTGAGATGAGATCTGGCCGCTGCGAAGCAGTTTATGGACAGGCAGTACACCTCCAGCAGAGGTAGACCATGCTCTATGGAGTTCCTGCTCCCAGCATAGTGCATCAGTGCCTAAAGCAACAAAACAGACAAAACAGTTAGAAAACAAAGCAAGAAGTTTGTCTCAGACGATTATAGTATCTGTCTGAAGTGGTGGAGGGGTGGATCCCTCTATTGGGAGAAAGGCAGTCTGCACCTGCTTGATCCCTGCTGACTGTCTGAAGGTGACAGGTGTTTTGATTGGGCCTAAGGGGAATCGATAACCCATGGTACCATCTGCCTAAATCGGCCCCACTTATCATGACCCCAGCAAAAATTAATGCAACAAATCACATTAAAAAAGATTCAAAGATCGAAAAAACATTATACCAAAAAGAAAAATGTTATTCCTTTTCAAGAGTGGTGTTTTTTTTTTTCTTCATTAAATGTGTTTAACAACTAAACAGACAGGAGCCAACACCTGAACCTGTTCTCCACCTGTAAGTCGCTGACAGATACACATTTAATCATCATGACACACTGAGAACATCTCAGGAGTCTCAATTACCAGACAGCAGCAGGTTTTTGCTGATTGGTGCACTGAATCAATCCCCCTGACTAAATATAAGGCATCCTCTCAAAGGGAACCCAAGAATACAGTCACAGCCCCAGAGACCTACATCAGTGGACTAATTAACACTCAACCACCTCCACATGGAAGACAGTGTCAAACATAATTGTTTGTGCTGCCACTAAGATAAGAAAACAGAGAAAAAGGAAAGATTTTTGCATACATTTTAGATATTTCTCAGACTGCAATGCCGTTTCTATGCAACTTGCCATTAGAAGACATTTCATTGAAAAGAAAAAAGTTTACTGGTTCAACATCTATGAATGTATTTGGTTAATTCCTAAAAAGGGAAGCTGGAGGCTCACTTTTAGACAACAGAGTTCTGTTAAGAACTAAAAACAAGCTAGGACAACTTTTTTAAACATCTAAACAAATCTAGATCTTATTTAATGATAAGCTGACTTTAAATTATTTCTCTCACATCATTTGATGTGAGAGAATCTTCCTCTTTACATCGATTTTCCTGTGAAAAGTGAAGAAACACTAAACACAGAAAATAAAAAAGTTGCACCACCCGGGGATTTTTACCAGCAAATAATTAAAGAGTCACCATGTTCATTACTAATTGTCTTTATTAGCCTGTTGCCTATTACAAATAATAAAATGAAATAATTTTACTAATACAATTTATTTTGTAGTATGGGAAATCAGAAAATGTTTGATCAGTGACAATTCTCAAAAAACAAAAGCTACCAATAGCCCTGAGAACAACTGACCCATTTATTATCCACCATTTATTTACATAAACTTGGTGGGTTTTGTTTGTTTTTCTAATCAGTATTAGGGCTCGGCATTGTCTGAATTTGAACAATTCTGATTGTTAATTTTAATCGAATACCTATCGATCCTTGATCTCAATTCACTTAAAAAGCAGAATCAAAAGTTTACATCTTATAAATTAGTTTGCTAACTTGTCTGGATCAAATAGTCAGAACTTCACAACTGAATTTCATTTCTCAAACAACTATGAGTGAATATTACTATAAATTTCCACATGGTTATTTTCAAATAGCAGATAACTATTAAATCTATGGACTCTAGTATAAATCTTAAGAATTTTCTTTTCATAGAGATCAATTTTCATGTGGAGCTTTATTGCTTAAAACTTCATTTAAGCCCATTTACACATATCCAGCGTATGATGCTGCAGGTACCTATGTTTTATAAGAATATTTGATTTACCGGATTTTGACTATAGTAGCAGGAAAGCACCCTGACAAAAGTTTATCCTCAGCATTGTTCAGTGGACCTTAATTCGATCAATTAAATGTGGAAGCTTACTAAATTACCTAATTTGTTAGTTAAAATTTGAAGCAAAATCCTCTGGAAGAATGATGGGAGCAAATTATATCTTATCCTTACTGTCCCAATAACATCTGAAATGTAATTCTGGGCAAACTTTGATATAGTTTTTTTTTTTTTTTTAAAGCAACATTTTAATTAATTATACAACTATTAGAAAAAGTAACAATTATTTGGAATTTTCTATTGATAAAATAAAATGGATATGAACATATAACTAATTTCCAAGGATCCTTGAGTGAAAATCTTCACAGATAATAAACAAACCAAAGGAAGAAAAAAAAAGCAGACAATAAATATGATCACTGATTAAAGGAAAAGGAATAAATCCTATCATTCCTCAGGGTTAAGCTGATTTTTTTTCTCTACCTAAACTTTCATTTTTATGATTCTTGCTTTTAGTTTCGTTATTTCCAGATAACATAAGCACACTGGCCTTTCTAAGATAAAACAAAGGTGCTGACCAGGCCAGCCTTTCCACATAGTGATACCAGCGTTTGGATGGTGATCTATAACATTTCTCATTCACATCATCGTCGCATTTAAACCGAGACGTCATGGCAGATTAGCAGGTTTTACAACCCAATCATTTCATTTGGAAAACACCAATACAATAAATACTGATCATTTATTGGTATAAAAATCAAAATATGGGTAAATAAAACGCGATGCTGCCCCGCCCCGCATGCATCCAGCAACGCTTCATGTGCAAACTGGGGCAAAGACCCCTGTGCATATTTTGCATTTCGAAAACGATCATATTTCCAAATCAAAGTAAGCCAAATGAGGTAATAATATAGGTTAAACCACTTCAATGTAATCAGCGGTTGCAGCGAACGAAACATCATCTAATAAATACATTAAATTAGCTTTATTATAGGACTATATGTTATTAGAAAAACCGCCCTGAACAGTATTTATAAATATATAAAGGATGTAGGTGTTTTGCACATAAAGGGGAGGAGAGCAGCAGCAGCTCATCATGTTATCTCCAGGCTACGAAAAGCCCGGAGTCCTAGCTGAGCTAACGTTAGCTAACGACAGCTAGGATAATCACATTACCTGGCAGAAGTTATCGCAGTACTCCGTGGAAGATGCTATGGATATTTCCTGCTGTCTTAGTACATCTTCAAACGCCCTCAGCGTGGCCAGCAGCGTTTCCATTGCGATGACGGTATCCTCGGCCGCATCCAGGGCCCAGTCGTTCCAGTCGGGCTCCGCTTCGACATTATTCTCCGCCATCTTCGCTCTCCGCCACGGCGCGTATGCAGTGCAGCCCAGCGCTGCCTTCAGGGGGCGTCCGAATTTCTAAACACGTCACTTCAAAATCAGAGATCAGTGGACTTCACCTGATTCATCTCTGGGCACGCGCTGTGGCATTCATTAAAGCAGATGTTCTGAGATAATAGAATAGAATAGAATAGAATAGAATAGAATAGAATAGAATAGAATAGAATAGAATAGAATAGAATAGAATAGAATAGAATAGAATTCAAAAGCAAACTACTGGCAAATGGGATTACTGTGGAAAATATGAAACAATAGAACATGTTATACTGGAATGTCATAAATATAAAAGCGAGAGAAGATATATGAGGAAAGAGTTTGAATATATTAAAGAAAAGATTATTTTATTAGATATTTTTGGGAAGAATTTGGGGAGTAAACATATACAAATAATTATTCGATTTTAAAAGAAAACTAAATGAATTCATAGAATTTGATTATAGAGAGAGTGAATTTGTATATGATATGTTAAAGTTATGTATAAGTATGTCTATTTGTGTGTGTACTCGTGTATATATATATATATATATATATATATATATATATATATATATATATATATATATATATATATATATATATATATATATATATATATATATATAATAGTAAACTGCTTCAAAAACTGGACAGCTAATAGTTTAACTCTAGATTCATCACACAGACTGACACATTTTAAGCCTTAATTTTTGTATTTTAGCTTACAGATACTGTAAACTTAGCAGAATAAAATATTTCTTTATGTTTTCATAAATGTGAAAATTAATTCTTTATAGGGCACTCAGTGAAATACTTTGAAAATACAAATTTCAAGCCAATAATGTTATGGAATCCAGGAAAAGACCTTATTACCCTTATAACATTCAAAACATATGGATGTTTTGATGGCAAAAATTAATAGGGATGTAATAACAAGAAACACCAACCTGCCTGAATATATTAAGATATATGACAAAAGTGCTTCTATAACAAATTCACGAAAAACACTCTGAGTTTAAAAGAAACACATTTTTTTCTTGGTACAACATAGCCTTAGAGACATTATTGTTGATACTTGCTCTTAAATTTTTTTATTTATAAACCTAAATATAATTGTTAACTACAGCCATGTAGCAGTGTCTTTGCTGAATGGCTGGATATAGATCTTGTGGTTCTAGACTTCACTGAGGGATGGGGTGGGGGACACCATTTGTAAGGGGTATGCAAGTGATCAAAAACCCTAACTTGCCCTATAAGATTAGATTAGAATAGATGAGCTTTATTGATCTCACAGCGGAGAAATTCACTTGTCACATATTGGCATAGAAGTCAAAAAGGTGCAAACAGGGAGGAAAAGGTGCATTAAGAATAAACAATAAACAATATATATATACAGTATATCAAGGTAAATAAGGATTAAGGTGCAGGTGTACCTGTATCGCACACAATGAAAAACAAAATAAAAATAAGAAATAAAAATATGTACAATCCGGATGGCTTATATACAGTTAAAGTGTAGTAGGTACGGAGCAACGGTGAGGTAGTGGTATGACTATTCTATTCACATATATTGCACATTCAGCACATTGCACAGAATATTGCACAGTCAATAAATAAAAAACTAAAAAACTATAATATAGCTGCACAGTGGTTTTTACAGGAGTTATTTTGGTTATAGTGCATTATTATGTCTGGTGGCAGCAGGAATAAATGACCCTTAAAGGGTTAAGGTGTATCAGCAGCAGGTAATTGAATAGAAATATATAATCAAATAAATGACCAGCATGTGAACAGGGTGATTCGACTGCGTCATTTACAAAGTAAGATTTTTTTTTATGTGAAACAGGTGCTGGAAGGAATTCTACTATAATGTTCCTTAGGTTGGAGCGGTTGCTCACAGAGGAAGTTCAACTCCTCAAGCTTCACACACAGGGTCCAAGGGGCGTCCTGGGACTGAGATGGCCCTCTTGATCAGCTTATCAAACTTCCTCCAAATGAAAGATAAGCAGCTGCGACAACAAAACTGCACACGGGAAGATTGCTGTTTCCACCTCAGAGAGAAAAGGTCTTTAAGTTTAAATGGTATTTATTATCCCCGGCAGGACACACACACCAAGCCAAAGAAAAAAAAAAAGAAACTAACAAAAAACAAAGCCTGGTTTAGAACACTAAACAACAACAGGTATAAAAAGTTCTTAAAGCTATTGGCTCTGCATTTATGGGCAGTTAACCTGCAGCCAGACATCAGCAGTTTAAATTGAGCCCAGAGAGGGTGGCTACGGTCTGAGGAAATGTGTTAAGCCCTTTTTAAAATCTGTGCCCTATACATGTCATGTGGGTCATTGAATGCACCCAAAGAATTTTTTCTTCTAAAGTTCACAAAATATTGCAACACCTTTATATTTTTCAAGGACAGTGCAACAAAACGGCAGACAAAAGAAAAGGTAAAAAAAAAGATTCATTAATAGAGGTGTGTAGAGTACCTAAAAATGTACTTAAAGGAATAGTACACCCAAAACATGATTAGCCTTCATTTTCTACTCACCCCCATGCTGAACAACACTCTGGAGTACTTTTTTGATATCTCAAATGCATCTGGAGATCTGGGAGGCTTCTTGCTGTCTGCTGACATTCAAATAATGGAGGTCTATGGTGACCGAGACAGAAAGGTCCATAAAAGTCCACAAAAAACGTGTCAATATTCCTCCATACTGCTCGTCCAATGTATTCCAAGTGTCCTGAGTGGGTAGCATCCAGAATCTACTCGAAACTAAGTCATTTAGAATGTTTTTAGAGCATAAACAGTAGTGTATAGGACTTCCTGAAAGCGCGCACATGCGCGCTCACGACGCTACGGAAGCCGGCAGACCAAACCAGATGAAAGTGCGCATTCAGCGTCTGCTCTGCCAATAATGCAAGCGTAGAATGAGAAATGTGCTGTTTACCTGTGCAAAGAAAGAAACAACGAAAGAAAAATGTCTGAGGACTTCAGTGTTGAGGAAGAGCATGAGTTCTTTGCCGAGCTGAATGCGCTGGTTTGGTCTGCCGGCTTCCGTAGCGTCGTGAGCACGCATGTGCGCGCTTTCAGGAAATCCTATGCACTACTGTTTATGCTCTAAAAACATTCTAAATTACTTCGTTTCGAGTAAATTCTGGACGCTACCCACTCAGGACACTTGGAATACATTGGACGAGCAGTATGGAGGAATATTGACACGTTTTTTGTGGACTTTTATGGACCTTTCTGTCTCGGTCACCATAGACCTCCATTATTTGAATGTCAGCAGACAGCAAGAAGCCTCCCAGATCTCCAGATGCATTTGAGATATCAAAAAAGTACTCCAGAGTGTTGTTCAGCATGGGGGTGAGTAGAAAATGAAGGCTAATCATGTTTTGGGTGTACTATTCCTTTAAATAAAAACGGTTAAACTTCATCATTTCTGTATTAAAGTAAAAAGTAGCTTTTAAAAAAATACTTAAAAGGATAGGATTGTAGTCAAGACCACACCAACAGAGACCAATGGGTACAGAGGCAAGTCTTGTCATGATCTCAGCCTCTGCTGAGAGCATCCTCACCAACTGTATCACAGTTTGGTATGGGAACTGCCTCGCCTTAGACCTGAAGGTGTTGCAGAGAGTGGTGAAAACGACCCATCGCATCACAGTGTCACCGCTCCCTGCCAGCAAGGACATCTACAGGAAGCTGTGTCTGAAAAACCACAAAAGTCTCCTTCACAGTGGAACGTGTTACAGAAGCGTACGGACTAGAACCACCAGGCACACAGCTTCTTCCCCACAGCTGTCACGCTCCTGAACGCCCCCTGAACACACACACAGACACATATAAACAACAATAACATATGGACTGTCCTCACATACACACACACATATGGATCCAATCCCTCTTACACGCACTTCTCAAATACAGCTGTATATAATTTCTAAATCTGTCATCTGCTATTATATATATATATATATATATATATATATATATATATATATATATATATATATATATATATATATATATATATATATATATATATAATACATTTTATTTGTATTGCACTTTACATTTCAACAAAATCTCAAAGTGCTACAACATTCATAGTTAAAACAAAACCGTACAATAAAAACAGCATACATAGTTAAAATGAGACATTACAATAAAATAACATACGCAGTCAAAACAAAACAGTAAAATAACCATAAAACCACACAGATAAAGTACTAACTAATGTTCAAAGTCCATTTTAAATAAAAATGTCTTGAGGCCTTTCTTGAACGCCTCCACACTCTGTGGGACCCTAAGGGACTCTGGGAGGCCATTCCAGAGTTGTGGGGCAACTGCCTGGAAGGCCCTATCTCCCATTGTGCAGAGCTTGACTCTTGGCTGGTGCAGTCGGTGGGTGGAGGTGGTGGAGCGGAGGGTTCTGGAGGCGGTGTGAGGTGTGAGGAGTTCCTTGAGGTAAGCAGGGACAGTTCCATGTATGCACTGGTGAGTGAGGAGGCAAAGTTTGTAATGTATTCTGTGTTGGATGGGCAGCCAATGAAGGGACCTGAGGACTGGAGTGATGTGTTCGTGTTTGCGCCTCCTCGTCAGGACCCGGGCAGCACAGTTCTGGATGTGCTGCAGCTTTTGTAGACTTTTGCCAGGGATCCCGACGAGGAGGGCATTACAGTAGTCCAATCTGGAGGAGACAAAGGCATGGATTAACTTTTCTGCTTGGGGTTGGGAAAGGGAGGGGCGGAGTTTGGTGATGTTTCTGAGGTGGAGGAAAGAGACCTTGCAGAGGTGACGTATGTGGGATATATATTATATATATATATACATATATATGTATATATATATTATTTATATACATGTATATGCATATATAACATATATTATGTATATATATATATATATATATATACATATATATATATAATATGTATATACATATATAATATATATACATATATATATTATATATACATGTATATATACATGTATATATATATATATATATAT